CCTCCACCTCCGCTGGGCACCGAGACCGATACCGAGTCGGCCGAGTGCGTGGAGAACTGCTGGGAGCTGTTCAGGGCCGTGCCACGCTTCCACGTGTGGGGGGAGTTGCTGCGGTCCGATCCGAGGTCGCTGTTCATGTTCCGCTCCGCCGAGGTGACGCTCGAGTCTGAGCCGGAACTCTGGACGGAGGTCAGGCTGCCGTTCTCCGCCGTCTTGCAGAGCCCGTTGGTCCGCAGCAGCGACGGGGGCGGCGGTGTCTGGCGCTGCAGCAGCAGCAGCTGGCTCTGCTGCTGTGCCGTGATCGAAGAGGTGCGCTTGGGCACCTCCGGCGGAACCTTCTTGCAGCTGCCGCTGCCACTGCCGCTGCCGCTGCCCGTGCTGCCGCTGCAGCTGGGAGTGGGCGTGGTGCTGCCGCCCTTGGGGCGCATGTAGATCTGTGCCGCCGAGTAGTAGGGCGTGTGGGGGCTGTGCCCGCTGGCGTTCACCCACGAGGCGTTCAGCGAGACGTCCGCGGAGCTGGCGTAGCTCAGGTCGTGCGGGGAGCCGTGGTAGCTGGTGTAGTAGACGGCTCCCTGGGCATTGTAGTAATGCGGCTCGGCCGCGTGCAGCAGATTCACATGCGGATGGGAGGCCATTCCGCCAGCGGTGGCTGTGGATCCCGAAATGGAAACGGGAGAGGCGCCTGCAAAAAGACAGAGGAGTTGGATTAAGCAAAGGATCCACAAGCAGGGGGAGAGAGTGATTCCTTACCCGATTGACTACGTGGTATGGGACTGCAGTCCAGCTGTCGTCGCTCCCGCATCGACAGAGAGCGCGACTTTTGATTGCCAGAATGCCCAGAGTGTGCAATGGAGGAGGGGATCTGGCGTTTAATAGAGCTCTTAGTCCAGCTGCCACCTGCCTCCTGTACTGCTTTCAATCTCCTCCGTAGATACGTATCTATGCTTTGTCACAGAGCTAACAACTATGCTATGCTATTGATTGTTGATTGATTGAGGCAAAACAAACAGAGATCTAAACTGGAATTTTTAACAGCAGAATTTCCGTCTTTAAACGGAAGGGACATCGCCAAAATATCACCAAAGGGTCGTATCTATTCTATTAATCTGTTCCCGATTCCCTTTCAAGACACTCAATGCCTCCAAACGAGACTTATATCTTTGGGTAATCCCATAAAGAAGAGGCTCCCCAATCGTGTCCATGGTTTTCCCTTTGAGAGAGGCAATACTTACGCTGACTGTGCCCGTCCGCGCTTGAGGACATCTCCGCCATTGCGGATCGAGTTCTTCTTGTGCATTCCCTGGTGCTGGTGCTGCTGCTGCTGGTGCTGCTGCATCTGCTGTAGCTGCTGCTGCTGTTGTGCCTGGGAACGGCTCAATGGCTGCTCTGGACGTCGTCGCCCAGTGCGTGGGCCAGAGGCAGCAGGCGTCTGTTTTTTTGTATGTATTGGCTGCTGCTGCTTCTGCTTCTGCTGATGTTGTTGTCCTCTTCGTCGCCCAGGAGAGGAGACTTTGAGTGGCGTCCATGCTGCCTGCTGCTGCTGTCCGCGCCAGGGATTGGCTGGCGTTTGAGCTTGCTGTTGCTGCTGCTGTCGGCGCCCTGGATGTGCTGGTGTTGTTCTTGCTGGTGGTGGCTGCTGCTCTGGCAATGGCTGCAGAAGCGAGCTGCGCTTGCGACGCAACTCCTGCATGGCCACTCGGTGGGACAGAAGGCCACACTCCAACACACACATACACGTATCGATGCACCGTATGCCGATGCTTCGTGTGGAGAGAGCCGGAAACAGCAAGGAACGAGAGAAGGCGCAAAGAGAGAGCGGGTAACGACCTCGTACCAGCGACAGTACGAGAGGGCACTCGAGCAGCCTCTACACGAACAGCAGCCAACACAAGATTCGTGCTCGAGTGCCCGTTCGGGAGCGAGTTCGAACTCGAACCACAGCCATGGCACAAACCCCGCTCGATCGGCCACAGCAGCGGTTCCAAATGCAATGCACACAGCCAATACCACAACCACAAATACAATGATGACATACATCAGCACACAAACAGCGACATCAAACACAAAAACGACAACTACAATTACGTCGGCAGCCAGACGATGCCTGTTAACAGCAATGTTAACAGGCGGACCCCCCCCACCACCGCCGCCAGAGGAACATCAGCAGCAGCAAACACATCAACAACAACAACAACATCAGCCAATAGCAACAAACACAGCCAATACCGATGATATCCCATCCACCTCTGCTGCAGCGGCCCGTTCGCCACTGAAGCGCGTCCGCGCCGAGGTGGATGACGATGACGATGATGACAGTGATGACTCGGATGCTGCAGCGACAGCACCAACCAACGACAATTATTCCCCCCCCCCATCATTCTGCCAGCTGTCCCCGACATTATGCCCATTCTGGACAAGCTGCAGAATGACCCGAGGGTGGGCAACAGTAGCTATCACACCAAGCTCATCAGCCGCAATGGTGTCCGTATCCAGGCCCGCGACATGGCTACCAGGGATGCCATCATGGCAATCCTGAGCGATGGCGACGGCAACGAGGCGATGACTGGCCACTACACACACCAGCACAAGAGTGACCGTGGGCTACGGATCGTCGTGCGAGATCTACACCACTCCACAAGCACCCAACTAATAAAAAATCAGATGGCAGAATTGGGTTATTATGTTATATTTATTAGAGCCATTAAAGGGAGATCCGATGGACAGCCGCTCGACCAGTTCGAGTTGGAGATAGCCCCCAAGCCGGATGAAAGCCACCACGATGTCCTCCAATTAACCCAGCTGGGCAACCAGTTGGTGACCGTTGAGAGGCAGGCCAAGCCGGTGGACCCAGCCCAGTGCCACAGATGTCAGGCATTCGGGCACACCCGCACCTACTGCAGGCGTTCATTCGTCTGTATGAAGTGTGCGGGTGCCCACGCGTCCACGGCATGTGCCAAGCCAAGGGCAGACGCCCCTAAATGCGCCAATTGCCAGGGCGCCCACATCAGCGCCTACAAGGGATGTCCGGCATTCAAGGCAGCAAGGGGCCGCCTTCTGTCCCACCGAGTGGCCATGCAGGAGTTGCGTCGCAAGCGCAGCTCGCTTCTGCAGCCATTGCCAGAGCAGCAGCCACCACCAGCAAGAACAACACCAGCACATCCAGGGCGCCGACAGCAGCAGCAACAGCAAGCTCAAACGCCAGCCAATCCCTGGCGCGGACAGCAGCAGCAGGCAGCATGGACGCCACTCAATGTCTCCTCTCCTGGGCGACGAAGAGGACAACAACATCAGCAGAAGCAGAAGCAGCAGCAGCCAATACATACAAAAAAACAGACGCCTGCTGCCTCTGGCCCACGCACTGGGCGACGACGTCCAGAGCAGCCATTGAGCCGTTCCCAGGCACAACAGCAGCAGCAGCTACAGCAGATGCAGCAGCACCAGCAGCAGCAGCACCAGCACCAGGGAATGCACAAGAAGAACTCGATCCGCAATGGCGGAGATATCCTCAAGCGCGGACGGGCACAGTCAGCGTAAGTATTGCCTCTCTCAAAGGGAAAACCATGGACACGATTGGGGAGCCTCTTCTTTATGGGATTACCCAAAGATATAAGTCTCGTTTGGAGGCATTGAGTGTCTTGAAAGGGAATCGGGAACAGATTAATAGAATAGATACGACCCTTTGGTGATATTTTGGCGATGTCCCTTCCGTTTAAAGACGGAAATTCTGCTGTTAAAAATTCCAGTTTAGATCTCTGTTTGTTTTGCCTCAATCAATCAACAATCAATAGCATAGCATAGTTGTTAGCTCTGTGACAAAGCATAGATACGTATCTACGGAGGAGATTGAAAGCAGTACAGGAGGCAGGTGGCAGCTGGACTAAGAGCTCTATTAAACGCCAGATCCCCTCCTCCATTGCACACTCTGGGCATTCTGGCAATCAAAAGTCGCGCTCTCTGTCGATGCGGGAGCGACGACAGCTGGACTGCAGTCCCATACCACGTAGTCAATCGGGTAAGGAATCACTCTCTCCCCCTGCTTGTGGATCCTTTGCTTAATCCAACTCCTCTGTCTTTTTGCAGGCGCCTCTCCCGTTTCCATTTCGGGATCCACAGCCACCGCTGGCGGAATGGCCTCCCATCCGCATGTGAATCTGCTGCACGCGGCCGAGCCGCATTACTACAATGCCCAGGGAGCCGTCTACTACACCAGCTACCACGGCTCCCCGCACGACCTGAGCTACGCCAGCTCCGCGGACGTCTCGCTGAACGCCTCGTGGGTGAACGCCAGCGGGCACAGCCCCCACACGCCCTACTACTCGGCGGCACAGATCTACATGCGCCCCAAGGGCGGCAGCACCACGCCCACTCCCAGCTGCAGCGGCAGCACGGGCAGCGGCAGCGGCAGTGGCAGCGGCAGCTGCAAGAAGGTTCCGCCGGAGGTGCCCAAGCGCACCTCTTCGATCACGGCACAGCAGCAGAGCCAGCTGCTGCTGCTGCAGCGCCAGACACCGCCGCCCCCGTCGCTGCTGCGGACCAACGGGCTCTGCAAGACGGCGGAGAACGGCAGCCTGACCTCCGTCCAGAGTTCCGGCTCAGACTCGAGCGTCACCTCGGCGGAGCGGAACATGAACAGCGACCTCGGATCGGACCGCAGCAACTCCCCCCACACGTGGAAGCGTGGCACGGCCCTGAACAGCTCCCAGCAGTTCTCCACGCACTCGGCCGACTCGGTATCGGTCTCGGTGCCCAGCGGAGGTGGAGGTGGAGCCGTTGTGGTCTCCGGAGCAGCCATAGCTGCTGCTGGGCCCGGAGCTTATGCCGCACAGATGCAGGCGGCCGTGGCAGCGGCCACAGCGGCGGGCGGAGTACCGCCGACGGACGATCATGCCGTCTCGTCGCACACCAGCGCCGCGCAGTACGAGCAGCACGAACAGCAGCAGCACGAGCAGCAGCAGCTGCAGGCAGCGGCCTCCGCCGCGGGCGTGGCCCAGAACTACAAGATGTCGGAGACCATACGCAAGCGGCAGTACCGCGTGGGCCTCAATCTGTTCAACAAGAAGCCGGAGAAGGGCATCACCTATCTCATCCGCAGGGGCTTCCTCGAGAACACGCCACAGGGCGTGGCTCGTTTCCTGATCACGCGCAAGTTTCCTCTCCCGCCAGATGATCGGCGAGTATCTGGGCAATCTGCAGAACCAGTTCAACATGGCCGTGCTCAGCTGCTTCGCCATGGAGCTGGACCTGTCCGGCCGCCAGGTGGACGTGGCCCTGCGCAAGTTCCAGGCCTACTTCCGGATGCCCGGGGAGGCGCAGAAGATTGAGCGGCTGATGGAGATCTTCTCGCAGCGCTACTGCGAGTGCAATGCGGACATTGTGGGGCGCCTAAGATCATCCGATACGGTAGAGTCTCCCCTCCCCTCCCCTCCTTGGAGGTTCGCCTACTAATCCGATTTATATTTGTTTACAGATCTTTGTGCTGGCATTTGCCATCATTATGCTCAATACGGATCTGCACACGCCCAATCTGAAGCCGGAAAGGCGCATGCGCGTCGAGGACTTCATCAAGAATCTGCGAGGCATCGACGATTGCCACGACATTGACAAGGACATGCTGAGCGGCATCTATGAGCGCGTCAAGTCGGACGAGTTCAAGCCGGGCAGCGACCACGTCACCCAGGTGATGAAGGTGCAGGCCACCATTGTCGGCAAGAAGCCGAATCTGGCGCTGCCCCACCGGCGGCTGGTCTGCTATTGCCGCCTGTACGAGATACCCGACGTGAACAAGAAGGAGCGGCCGGGCGTCCACCAGCGCGAGGTGTTCCTCTTCAACGACCTGCTGGTCATCACCAAGATATTCAGCAAGAAGAAGACCTCCGTGACGTACACGTTCCGCAACAGCTTCCCGCTCTGCGGCACGGTGGTGACCCTGCTGGACATGCCCAACTATCCGTTCTGCATCCAGCTGTCGCAGAAGGTCGACGGTAAGATCCTGATCACCTTCAATGCCCGCAACGAGCACGACCGCTGCAAGTTTGCCGAGGATCTCAAGGAGTCCATCAGCGAGATGGACGAAATGGAATCGCTGCGCATCGAGGCAGAGCTGGAGCGCCAGAAGTCGGCGCGCAACCGGGCCCCGGGGAACGCAGAGAACCGCGATAGTGGCGTGGCCGATGTGGAGGTGTGTCCCTGTCCCTATGGCTCCCAGCCCGGCGGCGGCTCCCAGGCAGCCGGCGAGCAGGCAGCTGGCAACTCGGCCGACTCCACGCAGCAGCTGAAGCGCAGTGCGCTCAGCAACAGTCTCCTGGACATGCACGAGCAATGTGAGTTCTCAGACTCAAATTTTGATATGTGAGAGCGTTTGTCTTATTCCGAGTCTCCTTCCAGTTGGCAACGAGAAGCCCCAGCGACGAGGCAGCGTCGGCTCCCTGGACAGCGGCATGAGCATCTCCTTCCAGTCGACCACCACGTCCAGCGCCTCGCGGGAGAATGCGGCGGCCATTGCAGCTGCCGCCAATGCAGCGGCGGCTGCCAAGATGCGTTTCAACATGCCGCCAACGGCGGCGATTGCCACGCCCAACAATGTGTATGCAGCGCCCGGAATGCAGGCGTACACGCATGCCAACTTTGTGCAGCAGTCGCAGGCCGCCTACATGATGCAGCAGCAGCAAATGCTTCAGCAACAGGCACAAATGCAAGCCCAGGCGCAAGCCCAGGCCCAAGCGCAGGCTCAGGCGCAGGCGCTACAGCAGCAGGGAGGCGGAGGAGCAGGAGTAGGAGGAGGAGCCGTGGTCACGGGTCGAATCCCTGGAAGGGAGAGGAAGGCCTCACGCTCCGATGAGAACGCACGGTCGACGGAGGTCTAAGTCATCTACTCATCTACGTATTGTACATTTCCGTTGTTCAGCAAAGCGATAAATATTAAATCTATATAGCATATAGAGTCAAATATCTGTATAATCCGAATCGAAACGAACCGAAAGCCATTTTTTCTGCAACACCTAACAAACAAACATACACACACACCACACACACAGCTTACGAGTATATAGTGAATTTTGAATGTTCCTTCGTTCTCTGCTAATATTAATTGATGTACATAAATTAAACAATTGTCTGTTTCCCGCACTATCTACTTGCTAAAATAAGTTTCTAAAACTAATTGTATATATATACATTCAGCATACACGCATACACGTACGATATACATATACATGTAGCCCCTACGATCTACGATAGCTATTCTCAATATATATATACAAACACGTACACACATATATATAGATATATATATATATATATGTATATATACAAACAAATTGTATAACACTTGACTTCCTCCAAGAACTTGAAACACCAATTTACCCAAGGCAACCTCTAAGCGACATAAAGCAGCACCAGCAGCAGCAGCACCAGCACCAGGGAATGCACAAGAAGAACTCGATCCGCAATGGCGGAGATGTCCTCAAGCGCGGACGGGCACAGTCAGCGTAAGTATTGCCTCTCTCAAAGGGAAAACCATGGACACGATTGGGGAGCCTCTTCTTTATGGGATTACCCAAAGATATAAGTCTCGTTTGGAGGCATTGAGTGTCTTGAAAGGGAATCGGGAACAGATTAATAGAATAGATACGACCCTTTGGTGATATTTTGGCGATGTCCCTTCCGTTTAAAGACGGAAATTCTGCTGTTAAAAATTCCAGTTTAGATCTCTGTTTGTTTTGCCTCAATCAATGAACAATCAATAGCATAGCATAGTTGTTAGCTCTGTGACAAAGCATAGATACGTATCTACGGAGGAGATTGAAAGCAGTACAGGAGGCAGGTGGCAGCTGGACTAAGAGCTCTATTAAACGCCAGATCCCCTCCTCCATTGCACACTCTGGGCATTCTGGCAATCAAAAGTCGCGCTCTCTGTCGATGCGGGAGCGACGACAGCTGGACTGCAGTCCCATACCACGTAGTCAATCGGGTAAGGAATCACTCTCTCCCCCTGCTTGTGGATCCTTTGCTTAATCCAACTCCTCTGTCTTTTTGCAGGCGCCTCTCCCGTTTCCATTTCGGGATCCACAGCCACCGCTGGCGGAATGGCCTCCCATCCGCATGTGAATCTGCTGCACGCGGCCGAGCCGCATTACTACAATGCCCAGGGAGCCGTCTACTACACCAGCTACCACGGCTCCCCGCACGACCTGAGCTACGCCAGCTCCGCGGACGTCTCGCTGAACGCCTCGTGGGTGAACGCCAGCGGGCACAGCCCCCACACGCCCTACTACTCGGCGGCACAGATCTACATGCGCCCCAAGGGCGGCAGCACCACGCCCACTCCCAGCTGCAGCGGCAGCACGGGCAGCGGCAGCGGCAGTGGCAGCGGCAGCTGCAAGAAGGTTCCGCCGGAGGTGCCCAAGCGCACCTCTTCGATCACGGCACAGCAGCAGAGCCAGCTGCTGCTGCTGCAGCGCCAGACACCGCCGCCCCCGTCGCTGCTGCGGACCAACGGGCTCTGCAAGACGGCGGAGAACGGCAGCTTGACCTCCGTCCAGAGTTCCGGCTCAGACTCGAGCGTCACCTCGGCGGAGCGGAACATGAACAGCGACCTCGGATCGGACCGCAGCAACTCCCCCCACACGTGGAAGCGTGGCACGGCCCTGAACAGCTCCCAGCAGTTCTCCACGCACTCGGCCGACTCGGTATCGGTCTCGGTGCCCAGCGGAGGTGGAGGTGGAGCCGTTGTGGTCTCCGGAGCAGCCATAGCTGCTGCTGGGCCCGGAGCTTATGCCGCACAGATGCAGGCGGCCGTGGCAGCGGCCACAGCGGCGGGCGGAGTACCGCCGACGGACGATCATGCCGTCTCGTCGCACACCAGCGCCGCGCAGTACGAGCAGCACGAACAGCAGCAGCACGAGCAGCAGCAGCTGCAGGCAGCGGCCTCCGCCGCGGGCGTGGCCCAGAACTACAAGATGTCGGAGACCATACGCAAGCGGCAGTACCGCGTGGGCCTCAATCTGTTCAACAAGAAGCCGGAGAAGGGCATCACCTATCTCATCCGCAGGGGCTTCCTCGAGAACACGCCACAGGGCGTGGCTCGTTTCCTGATCACGCGCAAGGGCCTCTCCCGCCAGATGATCGGCGAGTATCTGGGCAATCTGCAGAACCAGTTCAACATGGCCGTGCTCAGCTGCTTCGCCATGGAGCTGGACCTGTCCGGCCGCCAGGTGGACGTGGCCCTGCGCAAGTTCCAGGCCTACTTCCGGATGCCCGGGGAGGCGCAGAAGATTGAGCGGCTGATGGAGATCTTCTCGCAGCGCTACTGCGAGTGCAATGCGGACATTGTGGGGCGCCTAAGATCATCCGATACGGTAGAGTCTCCCCTCCCCTCCCCTCCTTGGAGGTTCGCCTACTAATCCGATTTATATTTGTTTACAGATCTTTGTGCTGGCATTTGCCATCATTATGCTCAATACGGATCTGCACACGCCCAATCTGAAGCCGGAAAGGCGCATGCGCGTCGAGGACTTCATCAAGAATCTGCGAGGCATCGACGATTGCCACGACATTGACAAGGACATGCTGAGCGGCATCTATGAGCGCGTCAAGTCGGACGAGTTCAAGCCGGGCAGCGACCACGTCACCCAGGTGATGAAGGTGCAGGCCACCATTGTCGGCAAGAAGCCGAATCTGGCGCTGCCCCACCGGCGGCTGGTCTGCTATTGCCGCCTGTACGAGATACCCGACGTGAACAAGAAGGAGCAGCCGGGCGTCCACCAGCGCGAGGTGTTCCTCTTCAACGACCTGCTGGTCATCACCAAGATATTCAGCAAGAAGAAGACCTCCGTGACGTACACGTTCCGCAACAGCTTCCCGCTCTGCGGCACGGTGGTGACCCTGCTGGACATGCCCAACTATCCGTTCTGCATCCAGCTGTCGCAGAAGGTCGACGGTAAGATCCTGATCACCTTCAATGCCCGCAACGAGCACGACCGCTGCAAGTTTGCCGAGGATCTCAAGGAGTCCATCAGCGAGATGGACGAAATGGAATCGCTGCGCATCGAGGCAGAGCTGGAGCGCCAGAAGTCGGCGCGCAACCGGGCCCCGGGGAACGCAGAGAACCGCGATAGTGGCGTGGCCGATGTGGAGGTGTGTCCCTGTCCCTATGGCTCCCAGCCCGGCGGCGGCTCCCAGGCAGCCGGCGAGCAGGCAGCTGGCAACTCGGCCGACTCCACGCAGCAGCTGAAGCGCAGTGCGCTCAGCAACAGTCTCCTGGACATGCACGAGCAATCTGAGTTCTCAGACTCAAATTTTGATATGTGAGAGCGTTTGTCTTATTCCGAGTCTCCTTCCAGTTGGCAACGAGAAGCCCCAGCGACGAGGCAGCGTCGGCTCCCTGGACAGCGGCATGAGCATCTCCTTCCAGTCGACCACCACGTCCAGCGCCTCGCGGGAGAATGCGGCGGCCATTGCAGCTGCCGCCAATGCAGCGGCGGCTGCCAAGATGCGTTTCAACATGCCGCCAACGGCGGCGATTGCCACGCCCAACAATGTGTATGCAGCGCCCGGAATGCAGGCGTACACGCATGCCAACTTTGTGCAGCAGTCGCAGGCCGCCTACATGATGCAGCAGCAGCAAATGCTTCAGCAACAGGCACAAATGCAAGCCCAGGCGCAAGCCCAGGCCCAAGCGCAGGCTCAGGCGCAGGCGCTACAGCAGCAGGGAGGCGGAGGAGCAGGAGTAGGAGGAGGAGCCGTGGTCACGGGTCGAATCCCTGGAAGGGAGAGGAAGGCCTCACGCTCCGATGAGAACGCACGGTCGACGGAGGTCTAAGTCATCTACTCATCTACGTATTGTACATTTCCGTTGTTCAGCAAAGCGATAAATATTAAATCTATATAGCATATAGAGTCAAATATCTGTATAATCCGAATCGAAACGAACCGAAAGCCTTTTTTTCTGCAACACCTAACAAACAAACATACACACACACCACACACACAGCTTACGAGTATATAGTGAATTTTGAATGTTCCTTCGTTCTCTGCTAATATTAATTGATGTACATAAATTAAACAATTGTCTGTTTCCCGCACTATCTACTTGCTAAAATAAGTTTCTAAAACTAATTGTATATATATACATTCAGCATACACGCATACACGTACGATATACATATACATGTAGCCCCTACGATCTACGATAGCTATTCTCAATATATATATACAAACACGTACACACATATATATAGATATATATATATATATGTATATATACAAACAAATTGTATAACACTTGACTTCCTCCAAGAACTTGAAACACCAATTTACCCAAGGCAACCTCTAAGCGACATAACGCCCCCCCCCCCCCCCACACACACATTTTTATCTAATCTTCTCTACCAATTAATTACAAATGCGATCTATGAATGTACGATTACTAGTTCTATTAGCACATACTAACATCCCGCCCCGTTGAGTGCGCGGATGATAGTTTTTTTGCCCCTGCTCCAGCCAATGCTCCACTAGCTCTACCTCACTCACCTGCAAATGCAACTAGTAGCTGCGGCACAGGAACCCACAGCAGCAGCAGCGGCGGCGGCGTTGGGCTGCTCCAGCTGCCCGCCCTGAGTATGCCCAATGCCAGACAAACTCGGATGCTGCAGCGACAGCACCAACCAACGACAATTATTCCCCCCCCCCCCATCATTCTGCCAGCTGTCCCCGACATTATGCCCATTCTGGACAAGCTGCAGAATGACCCGAGGGTGGGCAACAGTAGCTATCACACCAAGCTCATCAGCCGCAATGGTGTCCGTATCCAGGCCCGCGACATGGCTACCAGGGATGCCATCATGGCAATCCTGGGCGATGGCGACGGCAACGAGGCGATGACTGGCCACTACACACACCAGCACAAGAGTGACCGTGGGCTACGGATCGTCGTGCGAGATCTACACCACTCCACAAGCACCCAACTAATAAAAAATCAGATGGCCGAATTGGGTTATTATGTTATATTTATTAGAGCCATTAAAGGGAGATCCGATGGACAGCCGCTCGACCAGTTCGAGTTGGAGATAGCCCCCAAGCCGGATGAAAGCCACCACGATGTCCTCCAATTAACCCAGCTGGGCAACCAGTTGGTGACCGTTGAGAGGCAGGCCAAGCCGGTGGACCCAGCCCAGTGCCACAGATGTCAGGCATTCGGGCACACCCGCACCTACTGCAGGCGTTCATTCGTCTGTATGAAGTGTGCGGGTGCCCACGCGTCCACGGCATGTGCCAAGCCAAGGGCAGACGCCCCTAAATGCGCCAATTGCCAGGGCGCCCACATCAGCGCCTACAAGGGATGTCCGGCATTCAAGGCAGCAAGGGGCCGCCTTCTGTCCCACCGAGTGGCCATGCAGGAGTTGCGTCGCAAGCGCAGCTCGCTTCTGCAGCCATTGCCAGAGCAGCAGCCACCACCAGCAAGAACAACACCAGCACATCCAGGGCGCCGACAGCAGCAGCAACAGCAAGCTCAAACGCCAGCCAATCCCTGGCGCGGACAGCAGCAGCAGGCAGCATGGACGCCACTCAATGTCTCCTCTCCTGGGCGACGAACACACACATACACGTATCGATGCACCGTATGCCGATGCTTCGTGTGGAGAGAGCCGGAAACAGCAAGGAACGAGAGAAGGCGCAAAGAGAGAGCGGGTAACGACCTCGTACCAGCGACAGTACGAGAGGGCACTCGAGCAGCCTCTACACGAACAGCAGCCAACACAAGATTCGTGCTCGAGTGCCCGTTCGGGAGCGAGTTCGAACTCGAACCACAGCCATGGCACAAACCCCGCTCGATCGGCCACAGCAGCGGTTCCAAATGCAATGCACACAGCCAATACCACAACCACAAATACAATGATGACATACATCAGCACACAAACAGCGACATCAAACACAAAAACGACAACTACAATTACGTCGGCAGCCAGACGATGCCTGTTAACAGCAATGTTAACAGGCGGACCCCCCCCCACCACCGCCGCCAGAGGAACATCAGCAGCAGCAAACACATCAACAACAACAACAACATCAGCCAATAGCAACAAACACAGCCAATACCGATGATATCCCATCCACCTCTGCTGCAGCGGCCCGTTCGCCACTGAAGCGCGTCCGCGCCGAGGTGGATGACGATGATGACAGTGATGACTCGGATGCTGCAGCGACAGCACCAACCAACGACAATTATTCCCCCCCCCATCATTCTGCCAGCTGTCCCCGACATTATGCCCATTCAGGACAAGCTGCAGAATGACCCGAGGGTGGGCAACAGTAGCTATCACACCAAGCTCATCAGCCGCAATGGTGTCCGTATCCAGGCCCGCGACATGGCTACCAGGGATGCCATCATGGCAATCCTGGGCGATGGCGACGGCAACGAGGCGATGACTGGCCACTACACACACCAGCACAAGAGTGACCGTGGGCTACGGATCGTCGTGCGAGATCTACACCACTCCACAAGCACCCAACTAATAAAAAATCAGATGGCCGAATTGGGTTATTATGTTATATTTATTAGAGCCATTAAAGGGAGATCCGATGGACAGCCGCTCGACCAGTTCGAGTTGGAGATAGCCCCCAAGCCGGATGAAAGCCACCACGATGTCCTCCAATTAACCCAGCTGGGCAACCAGTTGGTGACCGTTGAGAGGCAGGCCAAGCCGGTGGACCCAGCCCAGTGCCACAGATGTCAGGCATTCGGGCACACCCGCACCTACTGCAGGCGTTCATTCGTCTGTATGAAGTGTGCGGGTGCCCACGCGTCCACGGCATGTGCCAAGCCAAGGGCAGACGCCCCTAAATGCGCCAATTGCCAGGGCGCCCACATCAGCGCCTACAAGGGATGTCCGGCATTCAAGGCAGCAAGGGGCCGCCTTCTGTCCCACCGAGTGGCCATGCAGGAGTTGCGTCGCAAGCGCAGCTCGCTTCTGCAGCCATTGCCAGAGCAGCAGCCACCACCAGCAAGAACAACACCAGCACATCCAGGGCGCCGACAGCAGCAGCAACAGCAAACTCAAACGCCAGCCAATCCCTGGCGCGGACAGCAGCAGCAGGCAGCATGGACGCCACTCAATGTCTCCTCTCCTGGGCGACGAACACACACATACACGTATCGATGCACCGTATGCCGATGCTTCGTGTGGAGAGAGCCGGAAACAGCAAGGAACGAGAGAAGGCGCAAAGAGAGAGCGGGTAACGACCTCGTACCAGCGACAGTACGAGAGGGCACTCGAGCAGCCTCTACACGAACAGCAGCCAACACAAGATTCGTGCTCGAGTGCCCGTTCGGGAGCGAGTTCGAACTCGAACCACAGCCATGGCACAAACCCCGCTCGATCGGCCACAGCAGCGGTTCCAAATGCAATGCACACAGCCAATACCACAACCACAAATACAATGATGACATACATCAGCACACAAACAGCGACATCAAACACAAAAACGACAACTACAATTACGTCGGCAGCCAGACGATGCCTGTTAACAGCAATGTTAACAGGCGGACCCCCCCCACCACCGCCGCCAGAGGAACATCAGCAGCAGCAAACACATCAACAACAACAACATCAGCCAATAGCAACAAACACAGCCAATACCGATGATATCCCATCCACCTCTGCTGCAGCGGCCCGTTCGCCACTGAAGCGCGTCCGCGCCGAGGTGGATGACGATGACGATGATGACAGTGATGACTCGGATGCTGCAGCGACAGCACCAACCAACGACAATTATTCCCCCCCCCATCATTCTGCCAGCTGTCCCCGACATTATGCCCATTCAGGACAAGCTGCAGAATGACCCGAGGGTGGGCAACAGTAGCTATCACACCAAGCTCATCAGCCGCAATGGTGTCCGTATCCAGGCCCGCGACATGGCTACCAGGGATGCCATCATGGCAATCCTGGGCGATGGCGACGGCAACGAGGCGATGACTGGCCACTACACACACCAGCACAAGAGTGACCGTGGGCTACGGATCGTCGTGCGAGATCTACACCACTCCACAAGCACCCAACTAATAAAAAATCAGATGGCCGAATTGGGTTATTATGTTATATTTATTAGAGCCATTAAAGGGAGATCCGATGGACAGCCGCTCGACCAGTTCGAGTTGGAGATAGCCCCCAAGCCGGATGAAAGCCACCACGATGTCCTCCAATTAACCCAGCTGGGCAACCAGTTGGTGACCGTTGAGAGCACAGCCACCGCTGGCGGAATGGCCTCCCATCCGCATGTGAATCTGCTGCACGCGGCCGAGCCGCATTACTACAATGCCCAGGGAGCCGTCTACTACACCAGCTACCACGGCTCCCCGCACGACCTGAGCTACGCCAGCTCCGCGGACGTCTCGCTGAACGCCTCGTGGGTGAACGCCAGCGGGCACAGCCCCCACACGCCCTACTACTCGGCGGCACAGATCTACATGCGCCCCAAGGGCGGCAGCACCACGCCCACTCCCAGCTGCAGCGGCAGCACGGGCAGCGGCAGCGGCAGTGGCAGCGGCAGCTGCAAGAAGGTTCCGCCGGAGGTGCCCAAGCGCACCTCTTCGATCACGGCACAGCAGCAGAGCCAGCTGCTGCTGCTGCAGCGCCAGACACCGCCGCCCCCGTCGCTGCTGCGGACCAACGGGCTCTGCAAGACGGCGGAGAACGGCAGCCTGACCTCCGTCCAGAGTTCCGGCTCAGACTCGAGCGTCACCTCGGCGGAGCGGAACATGAACAGCGACCTCGGATCGGACCGCAGCAACTCCCCCCACACGTGGAAGCGTGGCACGGCCCTGAACAGCTCCCAGCAGTTCTCCACGCACTCGGCCGACTCGGTATCGGTCTCGGTGCCCAGCGGAGGTGGAGGTGGAGCCGTTG